ATTTTAAGAACTTCTGTTTATTGGGAAACAACATAAATAAAGTACGGTGACATTATAATCCAGAATATATTTACAAAACGTAAGACTGACACAGAGTTAGAATCCGGGATATTTAGAGAACTACAAATCATTTAAAAATGATAAGCAACTTAAGAAGGTAAAATATATGAATGGGCAGTTTATAGAATAGAAAATAAACATGTTCTATAAACATGAGAAGATGCTCAAACTAATTAGTAACCATAGAAATACAAGTTTAAAGCATGATATTCTGTAACTACCTGCTAAATGGGGACAGTGTTGGTGAGTATGTAGGCTATGATTATACATTGGTGGTAGGAGTACACATTGGCATAACCACTTTGAAAATGATTTAGTATCATGGTAAGTAAGATAGAAGATGCACCTATTTTATTCATCAACTCTATTCCTAAAAAATTAAAGTAATATATTACAGTGCAATTCAGTAGTCTTATGTACAATGTGTGTGTATTTTTAGAACAGAAACAAAAGCTTCAACAAATAATGCTTATCCTTTCTGCTCGTGTTACACTAAGAAATGGTCTGTTCTCTTTCGTTTAAGTAGTGGCTGTTTAATAGTTTCTAAATTGATTTAAGAAACAGGTAATGGGAACTACCATTGAAGAACTTTTACACATGTGCACAAGGAGACATGTACACAAATGTCCATATCTGTACTTGTCATAGCCCAAAACAGGAGACAACCTAAATTGCAGTGATAGGAGAGTAAATGATAAATTATTATAGGCAATGAAAATGAAGTACAACTTACACATAAAAACATGGATAAATCTCAGAAACATGTTGAGTGAGAAAAAGTAAGTCAAATTAACAAAGGATGATGTAATTTCCTAAAACTCAAAGATAATGTTTATGATAATAATAGGTATAATTTATAGAGCATCAATCTCTGCCAGACACTTCTAAATTTTACATACACACATATTCATTTACATTTACTGACTGGGACATTTTGGTTTCTCTGAGAAGAAAATATGTTATATAATGCTGTAATATATATTTAAGCTAGTTGTGGCAAAGTTCTTATTATTCCATTTGTTTGTGGGAAACAAATTACAGAGGGAAATAACTGAGCTCATATATTTTATTTTCTTCCAGAATACACATGTATCTCTCTATATTTTTGTATAAATATATTAATATACCTATGCATTGTTATGTAGAAATACTACAATCTGCAGTTACCATAAAAAGTATTTGGACCTCAAATAGGTGATTGATTATGCCTTTGAAACAAACAGTCAAAACGTGGCTGAAGTTTTGGAACCCTCTATGGTCATTGCTGTGGACTTGTAAGCTCACAGATCTTTCAGAGAAGTTCATGCACCAGGCTTTAACTGGGAAATAACACAAAAAGAATTTCTTTTGACAATACATTCCTGAAAGTAGTTGGTATAGTTCAATTTATTTGTCCATTTTCTTAATAGAAAACCAGGTCAAGAATAAGGTGATTTTAAAAAATTAATGTCTTATGGCCAACTATCTTTATGTCTGGCTCACCTTTAACTTTCCTTTCTGGCTTTGAATTTAGGATTGAAGTAACTAAGAGGCAATAGTATCTTGAATAATGTGGGTCTCTTACTATTCAGCTTTTGTGTTTTAAGATATTTTTACTTTTTAACATTTGGAATAAAAGAAAATCTGAAATTACTGTTTTAACTGGGATATTAGTTTCAGACTAAATGCCTATTTCTGTGCTGTCTATTGGTATTTTTCCAGCTAAAATTCTTTTCCTCATAGTTATAATGTCAGAATAAGATATGTTTTAAATGAGATGGGCTTTTAAATGAAAATCAATAGTGCATTTTCCATAAAACAAAATAACTTTAAGAACTACTTCAGACCTTATTTCTAAATGTAAACATTATTTTTATAGGTCCTGGAAAGTAATTTTGACTTTTTACTTCCCAGTGGAATACTAAAAGGGTGTGACAATTATATCTGGTAATAGATGGTCTATTAAATTCTTGCATTGAAATGTACCCAGTCATTAAAGTAGAAAATTCACATCAAAAATTTTTATACTTTAATAAGATCATAAATAAGCTACATGATATGAATTTTTCATCTATTGCAGGTTCTTATTTATTTCCCTCAAGCAAAAAATACAATTTTGATTCCTGAATATTTGCTTATCTTTTTCTCTTCACAATCTGTTGGGCTTCTCCGGCAGCTACACGGGATCCCAACAGGTTTTTCCTTTCCCTAGAGGGTTGGAGCCAAAGGGATTGCCCTTTTCTCCCCCCCCCTCCCGCCCCCCCAGGACGTGGGGCGAAAAGAGATTCCAAGAGATGGTCGAGCATGCTGCTGCTCTCCCAGATAGGGAACAAACACATACACACTCAGCGGGGGTTCTGTCAGGCAGTTCCGTTTATCGTAACACAAAAGATCATATTTAGATGCTTAGCAGGCAGGGATTTCCAAGCTTAGGCCAATCCTCGAAAAGGTCAAATGTGCACGTGCCTTGCCTCTCTATGCTTAGCCCTCCCCCTTAACTTCCCTTGGGCGCCACCTTTTATCCGTTTGGGCCATCTGTTGTTTTTGCTTAGAGAAAGGGCGTGGTCCCATAACAATCCACTCTTCCTGCCCCATCTCCTTTACACATACAAACATGGGTACACATGCACACATAAAGATATACACACTTATCTTTGAACCCATGCTTGTTTTCTACTTTCATGATGCCTTCTCCTACCTTCCTACCTTAGGTTGATTTTTTTAGTAGTTACTGTGTTATAGCTGGCTCTTAACACATGCAACCATAATATGAAGAAACAGTGGAAAAACAATGAGTGTAGCTAGCTTTCAAATCTTGCAACTTAACTGTCTCTTACAACTTGCATTACAGTCTATGAGTATTTACCCATTCTGTGTCATAATGGAGAATGCAGACTCCAATTTGAGATTAGGAGGGATTACATATTAAATCATCTGTTATTGCAGATGGTTTTTATAGTTTAGCAGTAATAATTAGTGTTAACATAAGTCAAGGACTGTGAAGAATTTAAGCGTTTACCTACTGGCAAGCTAACAAGTTAACATGCTACAGTTTCATGGATGTTGGCAGAAGACACAGACTGTGGGGTCAGAGACAGCAATATATTAGTCACAGCAATTGCAGTAGCCAGAATAAATAATTTTGTAGGTTCCTGAGCCCACATTCCCACAGGGTGATGTTAAGAGGGCCAGGTAACACCTACATACATAGTGGTGTGTGTTACTGGAAAGGAATCCTGAACTTAGGCAACCTAATCTTTTATAATAGGTAGTAAACCTTTGGTCTATCCTTATGGACAGTAAACAAATCCATTTGCTTAAGAAAGAGATACTACCTCTATTTTCCAAGACTGTTCATTATACAAATATCTTTGAAAAGATAATTTGGAATAAAGGTGCTTGATTACTACTTGCATCTTAGAGTACTTAGTCTTACACTTTCCTGCTTGAAAATCTCCAATTGTTTTCCAGTACTTTTAAAAGAAAATCTAACTCCCTATTTGGACTATAGAAGACCCTAAATGGTCAAGTTTCAGCGTATCTCCCTATCCTCATATCACCATACTGGCCTTCTTTCTCTCAAGACCACCAGCACCCTTTGCATTAGCACTTCTCTCTGTCTGGTATGTTCTTACACCAGATGATCACCCAGCAAGATTCGGCTTGAATCAAATCAGAGTGAGGCTTTATCTGACCAACTAATGTAAAGTAACCACCCCAAACATTCTATCACACGACTCTGTTTTATTTTTCTAATACTTCTGTATCATTTTGTTGTTGTTTATGCTCCACCCAACCACATAGAATGTAAACTTGTTTGAGAGAGTGCTCTGTCTCGCCCCCTCTCTTCTTTCTCCCTCTCTCGAGCTTTAGAACAGTACCATTTAATAGTCTCTCAGCAAGTATTTTTTGAATGAATGAATGGATGGATTCATGAGTTAATATTCCCTCTACCATTTGCTTTTTGTTCCTCCTTTTTTACTTGTACTTTTCCTTTCATTGTTTTGGTCAATAAATATTAAACTTTATTATTTGATTTCTGATGAAGAACTTGCACTACTGTCTCTAGGGTAAAAAAAAAAATGAACACTATAGTAAAGAAGAAGTGAAAGACTGCCCCAAAATAACATAAACCTACTTGTTATAGTTTGATTATATACTTTCCTATTTAATACCATTGGTGATAAACTAGCAATGTGATAATCTGTTTGGTTTCATTGGCACTTATGATGCCGTGCTGTTTGTTAGCACTTAGAAAAATCCATGTTTACTTGCTAATTCCCACTAATACGACATGAGAGGCATTTCTTGATTTGTATAAAACGTAGAAAATAAGAAAGTAACTAATCACTTATCTACTGAGATCTTATGATTAGCATGTTATTATTGGTTTTGATCAACAGAGGACCTGGCTTTAGAATGCTAAATATTTCTTTAGTTATCTTTATGATACTTTTCTCTATGTGAAAGAAATTTATGAATGATTTATTGTAGTAAAAAGTAGCCATTACAAGATTTCAGCTCTTTTCTATCATTTCAACTATTTTTCTTGTACTTAATAATTTACTTAGCAGAGAAGGTATGGAAGACTCTAATACAGTTGCTAGACACTTTCGTAAAGATATATAGGAAAACAGTTTTGATTTGTGAATTAACTGCTTTTTTATTTTTAGTTTCATCTTCCTTCTCCCTTTTAGTTAGTTAATTCCACTAAGATTTTAACATAACAGTAACATAAATGTTATTTTAACATATTTGAACATTTAAAACGTACGTTTTATAGATATATGATATATGTTATCTTTTAAAAGACTGTGTTACTAATATAAGAACTAACCATTACCTAAAAGATATTCAATCATGATTGTACCTTAAGTATAATTTAAGATTGATAATTCTCCATTTTCTTGTGGGATCACTGTGGTTAAAACTGATCATTTTTCAAAATTTATTTGCCATAGCAAGCAATAAAGGAGAACATCAAAAAAAGAGAAGCAGAGGAAAAAGAAAAACGTGCCAGAATAGCTAAAGAATTAGCAGAGAAGGAAAGACTTGAACGCCAGCAAAAGAAAAAGCGCTTATTAGAAATGAAGACTGGTGAGTACTGTCAAATTTGCTATTTATGCTATGTATACTTAAGATTTATACTGGTTACTTATTAGCATTTTAATGTACTTTGATGAAAAAGGAAAATATAATCACTTGTTTGTGTAATTAAACCAAGGAGCAATGATTTTTTTATGGACGTTCTCCCCTTTAGTTTCTAACAAGTAGTGTCTTCATTCTAATGTTGGTCATAGATGATTTAGTCCTCAGGAGCACTCTTTTGGTTTCGGTATATTTGCAATTCTCTGACTACAACTTTGGTAACAAATCTGTAATCATGTATGTCAATTAATAAATTAGCATCAAGTAGTGTCTTCATTCTAATGTTGGTCATAGATGATTTAGTCCTCAGGAGCACTCTTTTGATTTCGGTATATTTGCAATTCTCTGACTACAACTTTGGTAACAAATCTGTAATCATGTATGTCAATTAATAAATTAGCATCTATAGGAAACTGTGGGAAATTCTATAGGACATATTACCTGGTTTCTTCAACAAAATATACTCCAAGGGAGGGAAAGAAATGATGGAGTGAACTTACTGATATAAGTGAACTTACTGATTAAAAGAGACTTAAACCTATCAACTAATTGCAATATATGAGATTTATATATTTCATTCCTAACAAATAATTATAGAAAAAAAAGCAGTCTGAAAAACTTGAATACTTTTTTTCCCCCTTGTAAACATGTGTTTTGAGAGCCTCCAGCTAAGTTGGGATTTCAGTACCAGAGTGGTTTAGCAGACCTACCCTAGTGGGAAATGAAAGGGAGTTGGACTTAGGTGTTTGCTGTATGCCTTTCATCAGATACTTCTTTTAACTGGAGGATGGCCTAGTGCCTAGTTGTCCAACCAGCAACTAGGGGGTTCTTTGTATTCGCAGAGTCCCCTGTGGCTCTTGCCTGACCATCACTCTGGTGCTGGGAGCCTAACCTTGAGTTCTTTCAGTTGACCTGGGAAACCTGGCCTGGGGAAGACCCTGATTCTTCAGATGGAAGGTGAAAATTCAGTCCACCACTGCAACAGGAAACAAGTTCAAGGATTTTTCTTACAGATACTGGGCAGGGAGAGCACAATGAGTTGGGAAGGTGGTCCTTTGTCCCTGGGTCACATGAGGCAGGAATGAAGAGTCAGGCAGAGAGAGAGAGAGAGAGAATGTGGCAACTAGTAGTGTATATATTAGCAGTGTATATAAGGGGATAGGATGTGGGTTACTTTAGGTTCATGGGCAAATGCCTGAATGGTCCCTTTAAAGGAAGCTGTGGAAAAGTGAGGAGCCCAGCCTGCTAGGCCAGAGAGATGCTTCTGAGTTCTTATCCCTGGCCACCGCCTGAGCCATTTGGGTGTGGTGTAGAACTGGAAACTGTGTCAAGGGTGACTGAGCCCTGCTTCTGGTATGAGAAAATTAGAATTGTATTCAAAATGAATGCCGAGGCAACAAAAAATTATAAATACACTTCAGTATGTTTCGTAGTGTCTTTTAGAGATTCATACTGAAACTTTACACACAAAAAGACGTGATATCTGGGATTTAAGTCAAAATAGTCTGGAGTGACTGGGAAGTAGTTGGGCTTATAGATGAAACAAGATTGGCTATGGATAGTTTAAGTCAAAATAGTCTGGAGTGACTGGGAAGTAGTTGGGCTTATAGATGAAACAAGATTGTAATAATTGCCAGAGGTGGGTAATGGGTACTTGGGGGAAAGGGTGTGTTCACTGTACTATTTACTCTATTTTTGTAAAAAGTTTTTGGAAAAATACTAAAAAATAAAAAAGTTACAGTCTTTTAGAAACATGTGTTTATATATATATATATTCCAAAGCTAAAGATATTACTAACTTCGAAGCTTTGTAAAAAGTTTTTGGAAAAATACTAAAAAATAAAAAAGTTACAGTCTTTTAGAAACATGCGTTTATATATATATATTTTCCAAAGCTAAAGATATTACTAACTTCGAAGCAAAAGAATTAAGTAAATTGTAGTTATATTTTCACCTCCTAAAAATTCTGGCTCTTCCACTTCCAAGCCACTAAGGATTGCAGAAAGCTTTAATTAAAATCCATCAGCTTCACTGCTAAATCACCACAGTTTACAATTCAAGGCTGCAAATTCACCTAAGTATTCCCCAGGGATAGACAGAGATGCCTACTTCGACTTCTTTACTTTCACTTTTACAGGCATATTTTATGTTTAATAAAGCAAAGTGAGTACCGTAATGTTTCACATTTGATTCTTCCAGGGAAGAAAAATCTAAGCATAATTTCTTGTTTATGTTTAAATTTCGGGAATCTTAGAAATATCTTAAAGTGTTAACAAAAATGGAGATCAGAAAGGTTTAGCATTGATTTAAAAAATATGCTTCTGGAAATAATTTTTAATTAATATATTACCACCTAATTTATGGAACATTCTGGTGTTTGAACAGTAGCTCACTTAGTGTTGGCTGAAGAGTCTTCTAGATGAATTACTAGATGGCAGAATGGCTGTATATGTGGTTTTGCCCAAGGGCCTATCACACAGAGCCTCTCAGAAATTTTGTTATATCAATTGGGAAAGCTGAAACCTGATAGGATACAAAAATTTTAATAAAACTTCCAGCATAATCTTAATGTTGTAGTTTAAATTTATATTTCTCCTGAAGGAAAGTTCTACTTTTAAGAATAAGTCTGTTTTTCCAATTAAAAAATATATTTGCATTATAAAAAACACCTAAACAGTAAATCAAAAGATCATCGCCCATAGTCTCCTTACCCAAAGAATCATTGTTAATGTTTTGGCACGTTGTTCTTTCAGTTTTAAAATTTTCTGCCTTTTAGCTACAGGCCTCAATCCCGCCCCTCCTCCTTTCTCCTTCTTCCATCCCATTTCCTTCCCCTTTGCCCTCTCCCTCTCCTTCCCAACTGCTCTGCAACAACATCATAGTATGTAAAAAAAAATAATAAAATAATAAAAAAATAAAATTTTCTGCCTTTTAATAATAGCTATGATCTTAGCAAATATGCAATTTAGTTAGTATCTTGCTTTATCTTACTGAACCTTCTGAACATTTCAGGGTATTCATAACTTGTAATTCTTAATTTGTAATTTCTAATATCTATGTCATTGAATTTGCTGGGTATACCATATCTAATTTAACTTGCATTAGTCAGCAATGAAGTCATAGAACAATTGTTATTTCCTACTTTTCAATGTGGTAAATATGTTAATCCATAAATAATGTTTATAATTAGTATTTTTTAAGATATAGAATAGAAAAGTATAAATGTTTTTAAAAGATTTTCAATGCACATTGCCAAATTGATTTCCAAAATTTCCCTGACTTTCAACATTGGGTTACAATTGTGCCTTAGTTAAGTATTCTCATTTTTTAAGGTTTGCTAATTTAATAGATCAAAAAGTTATGTTTTATTAACTTTATTTGAATTTCTATGAGTGCTACTGAAGTTGGATATTTTTAAGTGTTTATAATTTTTTGGTATTCCAAACATTGTGAATTGTGTTGTCTTTTTCTTGTTGATTTACACAAGTTAGATCTTCACCAATTAATATTTACCTTTTAAATATCTTCTCTTTATTTGGCTTTTTATTTTTATATCTTGACATATATAAAGGTGATTAATTTCCATTTTATAATGTTCTATAATGTTAATTATAATCTTTGTGATTTTTTTTTATCACATTTAAGTCTAGAAAGTAATCCTATCAGCAATTTTATATCCACTTCAATTTTTTTCTGTTTCAATTATTTATAATATGACTCTGCTCCATTTATTTGTAATTCTTCCTTAGTCATTCATATACTTGATATATATGTTTTAATATACTAGGGTCTGCTTCTGAATTTTACCAAAACCGTTACAAATTTAGCCATCAGTTCATTGTGGTTAATAATTGGTTTATGTTGCTTTAAGACAGGGACTATTGTGTCGAGGACATTACCATCTGTTCTTAATTTTTAAAATAGGTTTAAAGAAAAGTTCCATTGCATCTTTTAAAAAAATTTTTATTAAACATATTGATTGTACATTTTTATGGTGTACACAGTTGTGTTTTAAAACATGTATACAATGCATGCTTATCTATTCAGGGTAATTAATGGATTCATCATAGCAAAACTTAATTATTTCTTTGTGATATGCACATTTGATCTCTTCTAGACATTTGGTTAAATTCCATTGCATCTTTTCTTAATCATAGAACTCATCTTATTTTACCTGTTTGATTATTTTATAGAACTTTTTCTGTACTATCTCTTCCCAAACATGATCTGCAAATTATCATAGTTGGGTCTCAAATAAATATAAAATCCTCATCCAATAGGACTTCCCAAAGCCTTATGCTGAGGTGCATGCGTGGCATACATTTTGACGTTTTCCGGGAGAGTGTTCTTCAGAGCGTAGTCTGGGTAACATTGATTCATATAAATGATATTAAAATAAATAAATACTTTAAAATAATGTATCTATAAAGTAAATACTGGATATTATATGTGTATATTTTCATAGATATATGCAAAGTTATTTGACACAAAATACTGAAACAAAGCTATGATGTAAGAAGCTATTTTGGAGACATCTTCTGTCTTTTAAAAACATTTGAAAATTTTGAAAATCAACTTTGGATTTTTTTTTTTCTTCTTGTAGACTATGAGATTTTAAAGAATCTAGGGATGTTATCCTAAATTTCATCACATATAAACATATATTTTTTTTGCCAAAGTGAATGATGACTTCTAAAACCCCTCAAAATCATGATTATTCTGAATGGTCCTTAGTTTTCCTTTAAAAACAACACAATGATTAATGTAGAAGGATGAAGCATTCAATTTCTTAAAATAGCTATGCTAGCCAAGTAAGTCATATAAGAATAAAATATATTATTACTTATTGTTGATACCTTTTTTCATATTTAAAAATAATACAAATATGCAGTCACCTTTTTTATATGTAGAATATGCTAATCACATCATGATTTTCATAACACTTGAAA